AAAGGTCCTCTGTGAATGCTAATAAAAAAGCCCAAACCTTAAGCAGAAACTCAGCAGTGTGCTCAGACATGATACAACTTACTTATTTCTTCTCCCCWTCCCCCAGCTCCTTCCAACAGTCTCTAAACAAAGGGGATTTGGAAACTGGTCTGATTGACTTTCACATAAGGAGGTGATTGCACACAGTAGTCTGCAGTGGAACACACAGAAATGTTAGGATATGGTTTCTGGAGAGTGTCTGATCTCTCAAATCACAGTATCCGTATTTCTAGGGAGAAAAACAGCACAAAACATAACAACCAACGAAACAACCAAACAAATAAAACACCAACATACCCCAAAAAAACCCAAACCACAAATTACTAGTACTACTGATTTAGGTTTCACAGCATTCTGTCAACTGTATCCATTGTGTGTCACAACAAACCTCCATCACAGTAACTTGCTTGAAGGACGTTAGGGAAGAATATGCTTATCAATACTTGCATGCAGACAGCAATCGCACTATACTGGGTCTGAGGCACAAGGCAGACATTAAGGTTGTATTATCGTTAGGGTCTATTGTCAGGTGGAAACACAGTGAGAAAAAAATTGCTTTTAATGCCCTAGAGTTCCCTGAGGTGCTGCTGAAAAGTATATATATCATATTTCCACCAGGCCAGCAATAAACAGCAGGTGAAGTGCAGACTGTTTAGTGCAAACAACACACTCCCAGGACAGTTCAGTACTTGAGTGCAGCAAGCTAATGCATGAGAATCAGCTTGTTGACACTATCTGAAAAAGCGCTGGACAGAGCTGCAAGACAGAGAAAAATACTGCGGGTTTGTAAACACTTTCTTTGATTTAYACCCAGGGCTAACCAGTTCAGCCTCTTCCATGGAAATATACTTTGATGTCTCGCTAACCTAGTCTCATTCAGCCAAAGCAATGAGAAATGTTCACTTGGCATCACTAGYTAGTTGGAAAACTCGGTCTTTACAGCTGATGACCTAGTCTAACCTAGTTACTTGCTTACCATTATAAATCAGTGTTCTTCTTGGGAAAACAGTGCATTATAAACATGCCATGCTCATTTCAGTGCTTGCAAAATCTCAAACAGTCTGCTCAATACCACAAATTAGGAAAGGAAATGAAGCCTGCTTTCTTCTCTGTCATTTGCGTGGAAAGTGATTTAGTAACTTTTGTGCTTCCCAGGYTGGTTACAGGTTATGTGAAATATTGTTCTGCCACAATTAATATGGCAAAGAATTTTGCTTATTTAACATTCTACTGTAAAAATAAAAGGCATCTGTTAAAGATGGAACTTCTTCTAGAGATGGACACATATGCCCGGTAATATTTTGCTCAGAAACAAGTACAAATACCACCATCCTCACCTTGCCTTCCTTAATCTAAACGCAGATAATATTTAGTGAAAAAGAGTCTCCTYGACAGAGAAAATTTAGGCTTACAAATCTATTGATAATATAATCTATTTTATTTCCACAGATTGTTGACCAAAGGGTCCTAAAGAAACTGTGCTGTTGTGAGATGTGAAGGTAGATCCTCTTGCAGGTAAACAGTTAAAAAAAAMCAGGCACCTAAAAATGGCTGCTCATTTTTCTGAATGGAACTATATGACCTGTGGAATCCTGCAGGGCTCCATATTCTTTCATGTATTTATACATCATGTACAAAAAGCTGGGATTAATGAARTGACAAAATTTACTCATGATTGTTTACTCAGGATAATGCATTATATTAAAGGCAGCCACAAAAAGATGAAAAAGAATGTCACAACACAGGAAAGTTTAAAACCACTAACAAAGTGAATTTCAGTCTTAATAAATGACACACACTTCTGACTTTATACACAAGATGAGCTGTGAGACATCTAATCCTTCTGGAGACAAAACAGCTCAATGAAAACATCAACAAAGAAGCAGCTGCAAAGMAGGAAATGATAGGATTTAGCAGAGGTGGAACAGAACAAAATACAAAAAATTCATTATACAGAATGCACGAAGCACATGCATTGTACATGCACTTCTGATCCTCCCAACAGTTAAACTATGTTCTGTTCTCCCACTTGCCAGAATCTTCTTCTGTTCTATCAAGTCGTAACAACTTAGAAATAGTCAACTGCATTGAGCAATGGACTCCATTCAAAGTACAAATCCCAACTACACTGGGATTCTTCACAGTGGACAAAAAACCACCCAAAAACTGCACAGAGTAAAGCACAAGAGGAAGCACTTCAGAGATGTAAGCAGTCATGAAGAGGATGGAGATCAGGGACCAATTTTTAACTTCCAACATAACCAGCAAGAGAGTTCTAGGGGAAGTTTCAATATAAAAAGATATCACTGGACAGATTTTTGTAAAAGATCATATGAAAAAACTTTGTGWTAGGAAGTCCCTAATGTCTAGCCTGTTCTGAAAAGGTGATACTGAATGCACATTATTATCTTGCTTACTTTCTGAGGTACCTTATCCTGACTCCTGCAGAAGAAAGGTTAGACTTTTGAACTAACCTAAACTACTTAAAAGAAATATTTCCAAGACAGGCATTTCTTGCTTTATAGTGAGACTGATAAACAGGTATGTCCTCAAAAGACATTAACAACATTGCTTAGCATGGACTAACTGGTGCTCCGTGGGTCCAATGAAGTCCACAAAATACTTCCCAGCTCAACAGCCTTGTCTCACCCAGTCCTGGAAACAATTTTGTTCTGCAAACTCTGTCTAATAGACAAATTGCTCTTCAGGAGTCTGCTGTGGTTAGAAAGGTGGCAGCTGTTGATTTTGACCACAGGAACAATTGCTGCTGCAATACACAGAAAGGATTATGCAGTCCACAGATCACAGGGAAAGGCAAAAATGTCCCAAATGTCTCATCTAGACTTTGCCATTTCTGAGGCGTTGGATTTGATACTTCAACAAAAGCAAACAGATGCACTCTTGTTATAAGTATGAAATTAGAAAATTACTATGGAAGTTCTAGCCATTTTTTTGCCCTCCAATGTCACTCCTCCTTCTGCCTCCTCCCAGCCCCAGTTTCTTGCTGATTTTTTTCCTCAGCAAGAGAAATGCCAGTGTTCAGAGCTCTTTCCAGTGATAGAATAGTATGTTGGTACCTGCACATAGTACAGTGTGTTGGTACCTACCTCATTCATGTACATAGATTTTTATACTCAAAATCTGATTTCGAAAACTTTCAAACACCCCAGAATTCATGAATCCAAGAAAATTATTTCAGGTCACTGAAATAATTTAAATCAGTGCATCTGCTTTTATTTTTTTCATATCTAAGAATATCCTCATAAAGCAAACAGACTTCTGTGCTCATTTAATTAATCTAGCTAGGTATTTTATTGAATTAAATCTAAATCTTCGACTATTTTGAATCTGAACAGGGAAAAAACTTCAACTGGAAAAAGCCTCCCTCTGCAAAGCTGCCTATTTGAACCAAAAAAATCAAACTTCAACATCATTTTATTTCATGAAAGGCAAGATACTGGAAACTTGCTAAGAATTGCCATTTTTATCTCATGTTAAGATGCCCTCAGGAAAAACAGAAGCTGGGACAAAACCTGTTCAAGATTTCTGTGACCAACTCCTTAACTTTTGAAAGTCAAGAGGTCACTGTGACATGCTCAAAAGTACTCCGTTTTATGAAACAGCTATTTGAGCACACTGAAATGATGACTTGGAAAAAAAAAATCACAGTTAATGATGTGCAGTGACCATTCCCCATTCTACTAATTTTTACATAAGAAGCAGGTATCTTCATTGTCTAAATCAAACTGCAAAGAGAAACCTTTTATCCAAAGAGAAAGAAAAGAAACCCCTTCCCTACTTCCCCTCTTTTTGACAGAAAAATCTGTAAGACAAAGTCAACCAAAAAATGGAGAACAGTGAAAATGTAAATGCAAATTAGGAAATGAAAATATATGCGCACTTTATTTGGCACCGAAAATAAATCACGTAATTCTCAACAGAAGGAGCTTCATGAAAAGAAAATATTCAGATTTTTATTTTCTATCTTCTAATGCCTCTCAATCCTATTTTGACATGAACAAAGGCTCCAAAATTGGACAAAAACTGTACACTTTGTGCAGTAAGCACATGACTATCATTTCTCAAAAGACCATGTGAGGCAACCATCTTTTTCATTTCATGCTGAAATTCAGCTCCATGCTCTTTATCACAACGTGACCCTCCTACTCTTTCAGGGCTTCCTATCAAATGTAGTCCACTGGAAAAACTGAAAGGCCAAAATAAAAGCCATTATACTCATTTGTCTAGCCCACCTAGAACTGACTACCAGCTTTCTTTCACATCTGTTTTCTAGGGTCCATTTAGTGTTTATTACGGAGAAAAGAAGCAGTCCCCTATTTTAAAACCTCTTGACAGTATACTGGAACCTGTCTCACTCGTCCTATAATGTGCAGTGGTGACACACCTTTTTATAAAGCTACTACAAGCACGCTGCCGGTCTCGCTTCGCTTACACTTTGCTGCAGAGCCCCGCTGCTACAACCGTATCCCTCTCTCCATTGTGTTCCTGCCCGTTTCTCCTGCAGTGATCTGACACTCAGGGCAAGGAGTACCAAGGGGAGAGCAGAGCTCGCCTCGCCACCCTGCCCACCTGGAAGCCGCACATAACGGAGCTTAGGGCAGGGAGGGCAGGCTGCGGGAAACACGCCAGAAGCCGAGGCAATAAACCCCACAGACAGTCAGGTTTCCTGCCCCATGTCTGCCGGGCTGCCCGCACCCCCGCGGCAGCTCGCCCTCGGCCCGGGGGTCAGGCCCGGCTCCCCGAGAGAGGGAACCTCCCGTCAGCCGCGGGCGGCTCTGTGCTCCCACGGCTTGCAGTCCGGCCGGGGGGGCCCCTAACCCCGCAAGCCCACGCCCTCACCGCACCGGCACCCGCATCCCCCTCCGCCTTCACCCACCCCCACACCGGAGACCGCCCCCGTCCCGGGTCCCGCGGCGCCACCACCTGCCCTGCGCGCCTACCTGCGAGCCGCGCCCGCGCACAGCGACAGCATGGGGGGCGGCGCGGGAGGCGGCCAAGGAGGAGGAGGGAGAGGAGAGGGGGAGGGAGTGGAGAAGAGAGGAGGAGGAGAAAAGGCCGGGGGAGGAAAGACAGGCGGCTGAGAATAGCCGGAGGCAGGACGGGAGAAGGAAGGACCGGCTTCGCTCCCGCGCCGCCCTCTCACCGCCCGCGGGCGCAGCGTTCAGCCTCACTCCGCCGCGGTTCTGCGCATCCGCTTCCGCCGCCTCCTCACGCCCCCACGTCCCTGGTGTCTCGCAGCCGCAGGCAGCGCGGACTCGCCGCATCTCGCACGGTAAGGGCGATGCCCCGTGCCCGCGGCGAGGGCAGCTCCGCGGGCGTGGGCAGACTGCGCGCCGCCTCCCCGCGGTCCGCGGAGCTCAGGGCCGGGGGTGCGGAGCGGGCCCCGGGCGCTGCGGCCGCGGTCCGTGCTGTGCCGGGAGGGGCCCGCGACGCGGGTGGTGCAGAGTTGTCCTTGGGGCCCGAGCGAATGGACCATGGTCTGGGAGGCACCGGGAGGTGGGTATGGGACGGCAGCGCGGCCCGGCCGGTGGCACCTGCGCTGTCCCTCACGGGGGTGGTTAGAGGACCCCAGTGTCCCCGTCCGTACATCCCCAGC